GTTGGTTAGCCAATGGTACTGTTCAGACGGATTGGAACTCCGTCGTTTTGACTATGACGGCCATGTATTGCGAATTGACACGCCGTTCCTTTCGTGGTCTTCTAGTTCCGACCGCACTCTCTTTATCCTCTTAATCCAGCGAGTGGCTGTGCCGCGGTGAGTGTGCACATGCTACCTTCGGTTATGCCAACCATCGGTTCACATGCGCTTCCCTGCGCGTGTTTCGAGTTCTGCTTGCTCTTGTAGCAGCTGCTCCAGTCCTCCTTTTTCTCCGGCTCCGTTTTGTTGAACAATGGCCGCGACAGCTGTTGACACACAGCCACCCCCGCCGGCTAACACTCAGACACCCCCGGTCCAACTTCAGTGACTGTCGGCTGACCTCACAAACTTTCATCACCCCACGCGCGTCTAACGCCCTGGCCTGATACCCGTGAGGCATTTTGTGCATGCAGCCCTTATTCCTCCCCTAACTTGTCCAATCACACGACCACCACTCAGCCAGTCACCCCTCCTGCTGACCCAGGCGCACTCCCGCATAAACAACACACACACCGCGACTGACGCTCTCCGTGAACGGACGCTTTTCTCTGTTGCAAGCAAACAGCCAACTTACGGCAACCTGCCCTGTGTACAGAATAAACTAGTCCTCACAGCTCCCTGACTTCTGACAGTAGACGTAACGAACTTATTGTGCGTGGTTTAAGTCGATCTCACATCCTTGACCGCCACACTCTCTCTTCCCTTTCCCAGTCCAGCGATTTGTTTAGATTAGTATGCTATCAGTGAAGCTATGCGTATGGTACCAATCAAGTGTGATATTTAGGATATCCGGGTCCGGCTGTATGTTGTGCATCTTGAAGTTCTATGCCGCGCCATGTATGATGTGTTGCTAAATCCAGCCTCTTGTGCAACAGACTGGACATATTCGTGGAGTGCGCGCTGCTGTTTGGTCTTCCATTTCCTCCTGCACTTATCCAATCAGTACTCAGATGTGTCACCAATCCGCTTTCGATGGATGGTTCGGTCCACCCTGAACGACCTGTAGGCTCTCGTTATTTTAACGCGTTTCTTTACACTTTGCACTGATTGTGGCCCCATCCGTTCCCCTTTTATCTACATACCCATCAAGCGAGGCTCCATATATGATGCGACTCGAAAAAGGCCGGAAGATATCCGTTTTTCCTCATGTAGGTATCGTTGAGATCCGCTGGCTGCAGCACTCAGTGAACCAGCTGATTTGTTTTTATCATACAACCCCGGTCAGGCAAACCAGAACAGTTTTACGTCCCTTCCGTGTTAAGAGAAATGCATTGACCATTTTTAGAGCAACGTGGACCACACATTCCCCTGAATGTGGAAATCGATGTTGATGAAGCCTGTACTTGATGCGGCTGTAATCCTGCTTGATCTGACCAATCTCTATGATGCAGCCGACTGTGCCTCACCACGCATGACAGTCTGCGGCAGCGCGTTTGAGAAGCTCGAATAACTCTCTTTTCCGGCAACATAGACCGAAAGTCTAAAAAGCACCCCATGCCCTCACCGGTTGTGCTAAACCGGGCTTCGAGCTGGCATCGGTCAGCTAAAGGTCAGTTGCCTGCGGATAACAACGAGTCAGTTGTGTTGGGCAGCAGCATTAGTGAGTTATTTGCAACTAGCTACTGGATTTTAAATGGATGTCGTCGTTCGATGCTCCCACACACCCTGTTAAGATTCTGGATTCTCTGCCATTGGTGCGCTGAGTGAAGATGAGGGTAAGTATTATTCGAGGACTTATTCCGTCCACTCTCGCATAGGCACTAGGTTTCCTTTCAGCAGGGAGGATGGGTTCACTCGAGAGCCTAACAAATGGCTAATCGGCGCGTTCGTGGATGTGTGACAGTCCGCGCTTCCTTGATATCCGCCGATTTGTCACGCTGCCCTTCTGTCCGCCTCACGCTCCCTGTCGATTCGCTGCTGGAACAGCGCGAGGCTTGCCACTAGCCTCGCGAGTGCTCGAGACCAATCAACGCTTCCGCTTCTCTGATTGGCCGGTGGACACTGAGTCAGAGTGAAGGGCGCACACACGCGCTGGGGGCTAATTACCCCAGCTGCATACACAGAACAACTTGCCCAGAGAGACAGCTTCTGCTGACTGCTTGACGAGCCTCTTGCACGTTAGTAAAGGTTGTCCAACCCAATCAGTCCTCTCTGACTTCTGATTTGGGGACCTCTGTCTTGTCGACTATACCATCTCAACAGTTTTCGGGTAGGGCAATGAGCTTTAGCCAAAGTCAGATGCGAATTAAGCAGGTTCGCACGTCCGCGGAATAAGCCGTCTTGGAGGGGTAACTGACTTATGATAACCATACCGTGACATGGCGCTGGCGGTACGCGATGGAATTTATTTTGATTGTGTTTGATGCCCTGTAGTTGGAAAACTGATGTACAACGGTAGGGTAGACAGCCTCGAACAACCACTCCGGGCAGTTATTGTAGCAGTGCCTGTACTCCAAATTGCAATGACCGCAGTGAACACGTATTTTGTGGCGTGGAGTGTGAGCCATGCGTTGGAGACGTTTGTGCACTTGAGCTGCCTGTACTACAAACAACGATGTGCCGTGATAGTCTAGTGGTTAGGACATCGCGTTGTGGCCGCGAGAACCCAGGCTCGAATCCTGGTCACGGCATGCTCTTTTGTCTGGGAGGTTGGAACGCCCGCTAAAGTTTTCGGCACAGAATTTGAGAGCCAGAGGCTGAAAGGAGAAGAGAAAATTCGCTCCACATGAAAATAACCACATTACTTCCAGCCTGATGTTAGCAGCCAAAGAGTACCTAGTGGTCTTGTGTGAAAGACAGCTTTTGCAGACACGGACTAGCAACATTGAAAGGCATCGGAGGATCAAGCGGAGAATGCTAGAAGTGGTACCAACAGAGATGTAGGTTTCATCGCAACTACCAATAATCATGACACCCAAAGGGCGGACAGTACTCACTCAGAAATTGTGGATCAGAACCATCAGACTGCCTCGAAGTTTCCAAACCATCTTTGCTGGTAGGGTCTTCAAAAAAACAAAGGACTCTAAAGGTGCACATTTTGTTGATTAACGTGTTGGTGGTTACGCAGAATCTGGAAACCATATCGAAGGTATGCTAAAATAAAGTAACAAAATCATGGTATCATGGACGTTTCCTACAAAGGCTGAGGTCAAAATTCCCTTCTGTGCTCGAGTTAAACTAAAAATGGCGTGGGAAATCGTATGAAAAATAAACTGAGGAAGTTCGGATCTGAGATGGGACCGGTTTTAGGAGTGCGGTGAAGGCGTTTCTGCAGGATATCTGCTCAGATGACTGGGAAACTCGGGCATGCAACTGGCCCTTGGGAGACGGAGAGGGTGAGGTCGACTCTGGGAGTAGCAGGCTGTGCGTGCCCCCCAAAATGGCCACGCGGTAGCTGTTCTGGGCCAACATGAGTGCCAGATTGAATTCTGGCAGGCGTTATCAGAATGCGCAACATAACAAATGCCAACACTAGGGGGTGCAGTGGCAGGCCCAGTTGCCGGCTGACGTCCAGCAAACTGGGATTCCTTCTGCCCACCCATTATTGTTATTGGTTAAAACCCTGGTCAGTTTTTTTGTGGACCAAGGAGTGTTGACTAGCACGCCTAGGTGCGGGTCCGGCCGCGCCATACACCTGAGCCCTCCCCGCCTCAGGCCTTCTTGACTCTGTCTTGACCCCGGGTCCAGGTGGGGGAGAAGAAGAGAGTGCGGCGGATGCTGTGCAAGTCTGTCAACACTATAAACTAACTCACGCACACATCACCAGGCCTGCTCTCATCTTGCTGTGGAGCACACGGTAGACATCGTCGGGCACGTCGGTCGAACTGTCATGCGGCATGCGTGCACGGCTGCCTAACGTTGACGACAATGGCGCTCGGATTCGCTTCCGGTCGTCCTGGTATTGTCTTACTGTCGGTGCGGGTGGGTGGCTGGTGAAAGAGAGTGGCAGGTGAAGCGCACTCAGCGATGTTGTGCGCATACCGTGGTGCACGCGGTTGACGTCGTCGCTTGCAATGCTCGGACTGTCCCCTGTCTCGCATGCAAGCCACGCGGCGTCCTCTCGACGAGTTGATTGGACGATTATTCTTGAGTTTGTAAACGTCCGTGATCGGCTGCTTAGGGAGCTGATTGCGCTCATGCTATCTCTTCTCGGCAGCGACGATCACGCGTGTTTGCCACGGGCGGAATGCGTATATGCGCTTGAGCTGCCTGCACTGCCATTATGACAAACAAAACGATGCTCACGGGTGTGCCGTGATAGTCTAGTGGTTAGGACATCGCGTTGTGGCCGCGAGAACCCAGGTTCGAATCCTGGTCACGGCATGCGATTTTGTTTGTGAGGATAAAAACCTACAGGGATTTTCAGGAACTTGAGTGCCAGATGTTGAAAGAAAAAGGGAACCGAGGCATCCAAAAAATGAAAGGACGGCAGAGAATTACGAAGGGGTCTTATCGGGCCTGCAATACGATTGGTTAGCGTCCAGAGCTAATTTACCTGGTCGCAACCGACAGAACAACGAGCGCGTGACTCAATGCTTAGAGAGTTCAGTGATGGTGCCCATACAGACATCTAAGCAGTCAAGTCCGGCTTTCGAATATTCGTCATCAGGCCTGTACAGTGATATGAGTGAGGGTAGAATAGCAAAAGTTAAACATCCAATAGAAGACAATATGGGGGAAGGGGTTGGAAGGCGTTCAGAGCTCAGTGGTCGAATTATAGTTCTGTCTGAAGTTAAGCAAGGGGGAAGGGGTGGGGGAGGGGTAAGGTGTCTGGCTATTAGCTGTCCGTGTTTCGTCGCTGGGCTAATAGCAAAAGAAAAGCGTAGTCGACCACCGAAGCAAAACGGGCCAATCAGGTCCCGCAACTCGAATGATGGACGGCTTCTCTCAAATATGCGTTTTTTATTCGTCATCAATAAAAATTTGATGTTGAGATAAATTATCCGGCTAATCACCCTCCAATGAAGACGAAGAATAGAAATAATAATACTAATGATAATAATAGGAGGAAGAAGAAGAAGAAGAAGAAGAAGAAGAAGAAGAAGAAGAAGAAGAAGAAGAAGAAGAAGAAGAAGAAGAAGAAGAAGAAGAAGAAGAAGAAGAAGAAGAAGAAGAAGAAGAAGAAGGTGATGATGAAGAAGAAGAAGAAGAAGAAGAAGAAGAAGAAGGTGAAGAAGAAGAAGAAGAAGAAGAAGAAGAAGAAGAAGAAGAAGAAAAGTAGGCGACTTCATGGACCAAACAGTATTTGTGTCGACGTTTCGGAAACTCCCTTGTTTTCATCATCAGACTGGCGAGGTGTCATCTCCTGCTGGCCTGGATTTGTTCTCTCTCGCCGCCTGTCTAGTATTATAGTCATGCCTGACGCACAAACTCTGATCTATCTGCTGGTTGATGACAGGCTTCGGCCTCTCTGTTGCCGACCACTGGAGGGCTCGCATGAGCTCTCTCCCTTGCGCGGCTACCATACTTGCCGCAAAATCGGCGGGCCCGTCAGCACTCCCCTCGTAACTGGATGGGCCGTCGTCGCGTGTGCGAATCACGTTCGGCTCTTTTGGACGCGTCGGGAGATAGACGCTTCCCGCTGGTCGCATGACCACTGGGGATGACTCTACTGCATTATTTTAACGAGAAGAGTCTGACGCGGAAAGTCTTTTGAGGACATTTTTATGTGTAATTGATATTCAGATGACGGTAGACGTTCCGATGTGGGTTAAAGAAGCAGACTTGATTTCATGGGAATCCGATCAGCATCTGGGGAGTGATACTTTATGTCATTAATTTACTGGTCCTAGAAAGTGGGTATTCAGTAGTCCGATCTTCCGGGACAAGTCTTGTGATTAAATTTGGCTGACGTATCGCGTCCTGAAAGGACAATATGACAGATCCGGGGGATGGTCTAAACAGGTAGTCAAGATCCAACTGTGTGTCTCTGCTCGAGCGGAACTCTTAGGAGCATGGGACATAGTCTGATTGACAGTGGGTAAGGCTGAGTAAGCAGTCTGAAATGGCGTCTGATGGCAAGGGACGCTCAACGATCGTTCATACGGAACTCACTCTTTCCGTTGTGCCTTACGGGCTCTCTCTCGAGCCCAATCAGCAGCCGCACAGCGGGACACGATATAGTCAGAATAGCATTATCGACCAAGACGAAGGTGAATGGAATGGCCATTTCTGTCTTATTAGCCCTCGTCAGCCAGTCATACCCAACCCCGAAGTTTGGAACACATGGGGCTCGAACTCGCGACCTGTTAGTTAGAAGTCTACGCCTCCAACCGCTGGGCCACGAGCAGGTTGTCCTATCGGTTTCGATCGGAAGTATACAATTATAGGGGGGCTCACCGATCGAAACCGACAGCGTAACGGGCTCGTGGCCCAGTGGTTAGAGGTGTGGACTTCTAACTAGCAGGTCGCGAGTTCGAGCCCCAGGTGTTCCACACTTCGGGGTGGGGTATGACTGACTGACGACGGCTAATAAGCCAAAAATGGCCATTCCAGTCTCCCTTGTCTTTGTCGATAATAACATAATGCTCTCTGAGGAAGCATCATACATTAGGGTTGGTTAACCTTGTTTTTGGTCTGCTGTGGTTATTTAGCCGCACCTGGGGCAAATAAATCCCAGCCACCTGTAATACGGGACCGGTGGTAATAGGGGTTTTTAGAGATGGGGCTAGGGAGCGCACAGGCGACGAGGTCAAATAATTTTATGCAAAAGAAGTGCTATTGGGAATGCGTGGTTGTACTTTGAGTGGTTGAGCAATACTTGCCCTAACCCCCAAACCTAACCCTAGTCCTGATCCTAATCCCTAACCCTAACCCCCAACAGTATTGTGTCCATCAGGTGCGCCTGCATAGCCACATCTTACCCTTGCTATTTTTGCTATCCTCACTAACTTGGGACAGGCGAACAAAGCTGATCCTGATTGATTATATGGAAAGAAGCGAAGTTCGTGTATCTGAAATAGGAATACAAATATGAAGATTGTTCCTGTAACGGCCGATGTGATATCCCTCCGATACTGTCGCACAGCCTGAAAAAGAAACTGCTGTTATAGGAAATCCACTTCAAGAACATTCCACCATATGAGTGTCAGATTCGACTTTCGCTCGCATCTGATGGCATTAGTGTTCATGTTCCCATCTAACCATTGTCCCTGACTGCGACTCTGAAGAAGTCTTGGGCAGTCGGTCAGAAGTAGTCGACTGTTCCGCGTAACTGAATACGAAGCCGGTGCTGAGGTGACCATTGAAAAATGCGGGCGAACGTGGAGGCAGAGGACAGTGAGCACATTTCTGACTCTTTGTGCGAATGAGGCTGCGTGAATCGTTGCAGTCTATCGCGCGATGGTGATCACTTCGACTGGTCCGAATTTTGGCAAGATCGCAGTTGGTAGCCAGGAATGGGGAAGCGGACGGCTGCCTTAACCCTAATCCTAACCTTAACCCTAACCCTAACCTTAACCTTAAACGTAAACCGTTAACCCTAACGGCAGCCCTAACCCTAACCGAAATCGTAAACGTAACCGTAGCCCTTAGACATAGCCCTAACTGTAAAACCTAACTGTAATACTGAAACCTAATCGTAAATCAAACCCTAACCGTAACCCGAAAACCTAGCCCTAAAGGCATAACCCTAACCCGAAAATCGGAGACCACTAACGGGTACCCTAATCCTAACCTTAAACGTAAAAACGGAAGCCAAATGGGTCAGACATGATTATTTTGCCCCACAAGAAAGCCCCGGTAGACAAAACAACTACGATCTAGCCCGAATTTTTTCTCAGCCAATAATGTGAATAACTGTCTGAACGTTTCCTCGTTCCGCGTGGATTCCATATGTATGGGAACGAACGGCTGTGTTTATGCTCTGCAACTGTCTACAGTGATACCATCAGTGCCCTAATCTGGCTGCCGTCCGACAGGTAGAGTGTGTCCGCAAGTTGCCTGATCGTCGTGTTTGCAGACAAGTAGATGATAACTTAGGAACTCTGACAAAGAAATGAAATATCCGGCTACCCTTCAGTTTATGCTCATGATAGATAGGTAGAGATAGAGCTCTCTCTGACTCCATATCTCGACTATTGCTTTAGTCGAACTACCCTTAAGCCCAACCCTGACAGGGTGGGCATCACGATATCACGATATCTTTTACACACCTGAAGGCAGATTGTATGTGTCCTGGCCTGAATGCAGTAGCCGCTCCATTTTCCACCGCCTCTGAACGCCGTCTGTAACTAACGGACTAACGGGTGAAGTCTTCTGCCCGTGGAAAGGAAATTCTACTGCCTCTGTGAAAGTAAATCAACATATGCTGTGTTTAAAATTGTTCGCATCGTCCGTTAGTGCAACAGCAGCGACAACAACAACAACAACGACGACAACAACAGCAGCAGCAGCAACAACAACAGCAACAACAACAAGAACAGCAACTGCCCACGAAGATTAACCCGGTAGTAGCGTAGCTGTCGCAGTTTTTTAGCGTGTCTGCCGCAGGACTCCGAATCTCCTCTGGCGTTCTGTTCAAGCTGGGGTGCGTACCGCCGTCATTGGCTGTCCAGATCGCGTTTGCGCGTCGCCGCTAGTGGAGCCCGTCCAGGTGGATGCGGACTTCCTGATTGGGCAAATCTTATCAACCCTCACTCCAAGGCCAACCAACCACGGTGGGCAGCGCGCGGGCCTCTCAAGTACACGCAATCACGACTCCTTTGAGTGGTCTCCTATGCAGCTACAGCCTCTCTCGTCTCCGGTCTTCTTGACTCTGTCTTGACACCGGGCTCGGGCGAGGGAGAAGGAGAGAGTGTGGGTAGATGCTACGCAAGTCTGCCGGTACTATAAACCCCTGCGTAAGTCACCGTCCCTGCTCCCATTGCTGCTGCAACTGTGGGGCACACGGTGGACATTATCGAAACCGATGGTCGAACTGTCATGTAGCTACTGGTGCGCTCCTTGTTACCATAAGTGCTGTCTCTCTAACTCTTAGTTTGCGAAATCACTTACAGTCATCTACTAAATCCGACACCGCATTCAGGAACCAAACCACCAGCCAGTAAGAACTGCAAAAAGGATCCAACAGAGTAACTTCTAAGTCTGGGGCCAAGACCAAAAATTTACCACTAGGTTGTGCTCCAAGTATGAGTCACAGCGATTCAGGACTAGGCGTGTTGCTCACTGCGGACGGGTGTAGAGCCTTAATTCCCATTGACGCATAGAGTAAAACTTCAGTTAACTCCACGAGCTTCATCACGCCTCTAAGTACATACTATAGTCGGTCTTTTGTCGCCCGTCAGGCCGAATGCGGTTGCCCCACTCTTTACGACATCATAGAGGTCATTGCCTGGCCAATAGATCCTTTCTGCAATTGGCCCCAACACTGAATGTTACCCTTCTGGGCCTATCACGAGCAGTATGCTTTATGCCTCACCTTGTACTGAGCCGCTTGCAAACCGGCTGTAGGCAACACGCCCTCTGTGCGTTTTCAGGACTTTCTGGTTTTACGAACTCCGGTTTTGTTCGAGCGCCCACAATGTATCAAGTGTCTTTGACGATCGCATTTTTTAAAACATGACTGGTAGTGGCGCCGGCGAGCGTCCGAATGATTGTCTTTAGACACGTTTATCAACTTTATGCATGACGCCTGCTCTGGGTACTGCGACCACGGTATAGCCACGTCCTATAAGTAGTATACTACTGCTAAAAAGATCCGTTGCCCCATCAGAAGATCTAGCATCATCCGATTATCACTTGCACGGACAGTTTCACTTAACGCATTCTGGTCAAGAAAAAATCAGTTAAGGAATTCTTTTGCAATCACTGACTCGTTAGTCAGCGAAGCCCACGTCTCTGGAACCGTTTTCTTAGTTGTAATGGGGACTTGAACCCAACCTCATGTTCATAATCTGCGATTGGTAATTGATGATTGCTTACTGTTAAGGTGTCGCTGAACCTGTGGTGGGGGAGCTGAAACGTATACCTCCGCCCACTTCCGCTCTGAGTGATACCCTCTCGATCCGCCCACCGTCTAGTAATATTGGAGGTGCATCGCCTTTCAGAAGCGAGGACGTGCTCCCCTGCTTACCTACCTACCGGTTGCCGGGCGCGTCCAATGGTGGCGGATAGTGGAATGGACTTCAGTGGTGGGTCTCGGGTCTAAAGACTAAACAGTCATGGAGGACCGAATGTCCCACAAAATAATGCAAAGCTGGAGACCGACCGTGAACAACTATCAAATGCGTTTTCTTGCCTCTGGCGCCCTGGGTTTGGACAACCTCGGAGAACCCCTTTGTGAGTCTAGAAAAGACCCGGTTAAACTCAAAATTTTAAAGAATTTGATCATGCTACACACACATGGTCGCGATGATCACGTGTTTTCTAACGTGGACTGTGACCCATGAGCTAAAGACTTATACGCACTAACACCATGACAAACGAATAGATTATCCGTGATGTGTTGTGATAGTCTAGTGGTTAGGATGTGGCGGCCAGCCATCATGACCGGTTTAGCGTCATTGTGTAAGACCTCGCTTCCTTAAGATCATTCATCCTTTTGCAGTGAGCCGTTCCATACGCGGTGACCAGAAGTCACACGACCGACAGCTCGGACACCTCTGCGGCCGCATAGCCGCAGCTGCCCATGCGACCTCTTGAACGCACCTTCCCCCTGCAACCATAACCTAAGCCACCGGAACGCCTCAACTCAGTCCACGCAGTCAGCCCAGTTGTGCATGTTTCTGCGGAGTGACGGACTGGTGGGCTGAGAGTCAGGCTGCTACGGCTCCCTCTTACTGTGATCTCTGGAATTCTCACACATCTGCGGAATGTGTGTGTGGGCATATGGACAGTGCCTCTCAGGCGATGATTGACTAGTTACCCCGCCTCTGATGGGTGTCTGTCAAGGCTCAATGTAAGGCTGTGTGTCACCCTTCTGGACTTTAATGTTTGTGAGCGTCTGTTACGCCATTATTCAGCAAACTGGGACCCTCGCAGCCTGGTGAACACTGGCAGTGCTCTGACCCCCGGTCCCCTGCCGGTAGATGCGCTTGTTTTCCCATGCACGTGGCTGCTCAGTCATCCTAATCCTTCCGACACGTCGCGATGTTGGTGTTGTTGTTGTTGTTGTTTTTGCTGGTGGTTAAAATCCTGGCCAAATTCCTGTTGTGGAGTGGAGTGCCAGGGTGCGGGCTCGACTGCGACATCCACCTGCGCCCTCCCCCGCCTCCGGTCTTTTTAACTCTGTCTTGACACCGGACTCAGGTGGGGAGGAGGACAGCGTGTGGTATATGCTTCGAAAGTCTACTCTCGCTACAAACTAAATCACGCGCAAGTCACTGTCCCCGTTTCACCTTGCTGTGGAGCGCAGGGTAGACATCGTCGGGCACGACTGTCGAACTATCAGGTGCTTTCGCCCGCTAATTGATGGTATGTGGACGTGAGACGATCATCGCGGTTCCTCTGTCGTTTTCGACACATATCCCGATTTATTTGATCACGTCATGACAGAGAAGGTTAGGGTCGTAGAAGATTTGTGGGTAGTTGTGTGGCCTGCAAGACCAGGGCAAGGCTGCGTACCCGCGACTGACTATCTAGAGCCTTGTCCGCAAGGAAAGGCAGATAAATTCCCTGAAAAAACGGCAACTCACTTGACTGAGTTCGGAACGCGTTTACACTAAAAATGGATTAATTGACTATTTGCTGGCTAAATAAATAAATTGGGGATATGCATGACTTGCCACTTTTCTCATTATGAAATGTAATCCAGACTAAGCCTTGTCGTAACGTCCACACGCAAGTTCTACAGAAGAAAGAAGCGCATGTGTTATTTTATACGTAGATCAGGTACTACTAATTACCATGTCCTACGTGCTGTTTACTCTGGTGGAAACCACTGGGACTCTGCACGCAATCTGCACTTTTATATGAATGAGTCTACACGTAAGCCATTGCAATCGAATTCAGCAGATCTAACTACGATTTAGATGATAATATACCTGAACGCATGATCCCCTTACACGTCACTGAGCTCCTACTGCTGGTGCTGGGGAAATGGATATACCTTAACCAGCACACTAACCAGGTCAAGTCCGCCTTGTCGTAAATGGCAATGTTCTCACGAACTATCGAGTTATATCTCACGAGCCCCTAGCCCTAAAGGCAGCAAGTAAAACTGAGCAGTGAATAATATAGAGGTTTTTGAACGTTAAGAAAACTAGCAAAAAACCACGACGAGGAGCAAGCTAGCAAGGCGGGTTGTAAAGGTGTGTCGTTTTTCGTCACATTCAAACAAGTAATTCTGTCAAAGAAAATGGGACTAAATTGTCAAAGGTAATTTAGTCAGGTACCCCACCACAGCCTTATCAAGAGAGAACTATCAAAGTCAGCACGAGACATACGTGAGTGTATGTCGTATGTGCCGGTCAGCTGCTGTCAGGCATGTCATTTGATTCCAAACTTTGTGGACTTCTGTGATTGGCTGTGCACGGGGTTGAATGTGCTCGTGCTACATTCGCGCGATTGCTGGGCTCGCGTGTTTCCTAGCCTGCACTGTGATACAAATGGGAGGCGTGCGTGCACTTGGTGTGTCTGCAGGAAAATTGTATGTAATAGGGGGAAGGCCGATGGTGTGCCGTGATAGTCTAGTGGTTAGGACATCGCGTTGTGGCCGCGAGAACCCAGGTTCGAATCCTGGTCACGGCATGTGGTTTTGATTGTCTAAAATGTCCTATATGGCCCCCTGCGCTTCTCTAACATAAATGGAAGTTCTGTACAAGAGGCCGGATAGCTGTGAGCTTGCTATAGCAAGGCTATCGGTATCGTGAACTCTGGTTACGGCCTATCTGACAGCGTCAGAGGCTTCGTCGATTGACAAAATTTTCGGGTGCGCTTTCGTGGACTCAGTTGAACTGAGGTGTGTAGCGGCTAGGCAGTGAGTGTGTGCTTAGAACGCCACAATCCTCAGCCCAAATTCCCTTTTGTAAGGAGAAGACAGACGTCACCGGAATGAGGAGTTTATCGTACACAGAACGATTAGCGACAGTGGCCGCTGGCAAAGCCAGGGCGTCCAGTCATGCCTGAGAGTGCTTGAGGCAGTACTGGCAGCTGCTTTTGAACAGTGAGTGGCCGATCTCATGAACTGTTGACCGAAATTCTGAAATGTGTTTTCCATTGCGAAGGATTACTTCTGTGCGGTTGTAATATTTATTGTCACGCGGCATAATCCCATGATATCTCGGGCTCCCCAGAATGTTGGCTTTTAAATGCACTCCTTTCCGGCCTTCTGTTAAAACTGCACTCGGTAAAGAATGACTACCTAATTAGTGTACATTTTTACACTAATTTCCAACGACCTTCTAAATTCGAATATATTTGGTAGAAAACATGCATAGAAATACGCTTTCTTTTACTACTTTGGTAGCAAACCACGTTATCTTTACATTTTATACTCGGAAAAAGAGTTTACTTAAGTTTT